GTTTAGGGAGTTTAGGGTTTAGAGTGAAGGGAGTTTAGGGTTAAGGGGGGTTTAGGGTTAACAAAAGAGAACCATCGAATAAAGAATCCCCTGGAGATTTGGGCTCCAGGCCTCAAAACCGAACCCTCAAGCACCGACCCTCAAAACACGCAAGCTTAGGTTTAGGGTTTAGGGTTTAGGGTTTAGGGTTTAGGGTTTAGGGTTTAGGGTTTAGGGAACACGCAAGCTTACCAAGGGTCAGAAAGCGGTCTTTTCGGCTTCGTCCAACTTTTGCATCTTGAGCCACAACGTTCGTGGTCATCATGGTCCTACGAGACACACAAAGACCCTCTAAAAAGGTGCCTGCCTTCCACCCCTTCAAAGCGGGCAGGGCATTGATAAGTTTATAAAGTCCTTAAGGACGAAAAGAGCCCTAAAAGTAGGGGGCCCTATACCCTTCTACTATGAATCCCCATATGGTATATGAACCTTAAGCCCTTCTAGGACTCCTTTCGTCCTTAAGGTTGTTCAAAACTGCCAGGCCTCAAGGACTGGGCAGAAACAGCTCGTGCCGAAGCCACGACTCGACTTCGGGGGGGTTTAGGGTTTTAGGGTTTGAGAATGGGATTTGGGGGGTTCCTTTGAAAGGTGTTCCTTAAAGGGTTATATAAGGGCTACTATAAGGGTGTCGGGTTTAGGGGCCTTAATGACTAGAATAGGGTTTTGGTGTATATTATGCCCTTATTTACGATAAGGAGCCCACCCCCGGCCCAATAGTATAGGTAATTACTAAGGCCCCTACATTGAACCCTAAACGCTAGACTTCAATCGCTCAGGGAGCGGACTTGTGCATTGTTTCCGCTTGTATTCGTGGAGTAGCCAGCTGAGTACCTGTCCCCGCTCAGGCTTTGCTTTGTGTCTCTCTTTTTGGTATGGTCACGTCGGACGGTGGTTTGATTAATTGCCTCGACCATAAGCCCTGAGCTTATCTGTAGGAGGCTGCACATCTTCGTGGGAGGACATTCGTTTATTGACCTGTAAGTTTGCTGCGCTTACTGCAATGAAATGCACTTCTAGCTGTGCAAAGGCATTAGTCGGCCCTTGTTCTTTCCTTGAGACTGTTGAGGTGGTATGTATCTCTTGCTTCCGATTACAGCAGAAACTGTTACAATTTTACAACTTTGTAATCTTCACCCGAAAACCTCAAACCCTACGCACGGTACTATGAAATCCCAGTCCTCCAAATCTGAAAACCCTAAGCACCCTAAAAACTCAGAAAGCCCAATGCCCCTAGAAGCCATAAAGCCTTTCACTTGCCCTGAACTCCGGAGGTAGACGGCAGCCCCGACAATGCTCAAAGGAGCATGGGAAGTATCGCCAAGGTTGTGTAAATTTGGGTTTTACACAACTACTTAAGTAAGTTGCATATCTAAGCTGGAATTACATATAACTGCGATACGTATAAGTATGTGTATGTGTGTATTTTATGTATGTATATATATATATATATGCACACCTAAATTTGCACCAAACCCTCCTTGTGAAGTCCCCTGATCCGTCAAGTGTTCCGAAGCCAGTGGCTCTTCATCTTGTGAAGGAAGGTCCGTGACGTTAGAGGCTCTACTCCATCCTCACTACATGCTCTGATACTCTCAGGTTTCGCGTTTAGGGTTTTTGGTTGGTTACGCAACCAAGTTCAAATAAACCGAATGAACGGCTGAGCATCAACCATCCCCGCGGCATACTCAGTCAATTGGGACCCCGATCAAGAGACCTTCCACAAGTCTCTGCATCCCCCTGCGCGATACTGGTTTTGCACTCATCGCCGTAACGGCTTCTGATTGCCCGGCACACGGCAGGAACATTAAACGTGATGGGATGGTTAAACCCAGTATGGTGTCTTGCAGGATGTTGCGGGTGCTTGCTATTGGCAACTCTTACTGATTAAGTACATGCTGCAAACCGGGAACCCTTGCAAGGTACTGTCCGTGCCTGATCGTGGCAAGCATCCCCGCGATCACGAGCATGGTAGCACTGAAGATGACTGTCCCTGGGAGACGTCTCGCCCAGACATTCATGTTCTCATCCACGGGGAAGAATTGGAAAGCCACTCAGCTGTGCAAGGAAGCAAAAGACTGATCCTCTATGTAAAGTTCGGTTTGAAGGACGGCATAACAACTCAAAATCGTTTAGGGTTTAGGGTCTATCTCCGCGAAATTAACCCCTGCGGCCCAGCAGCACTGCTCGAAAACCAGAGCTCCAAAGACAAAGAGGACGACAACTGCCATGACGCAGAGGTTGACCATCAGATCACACACCATCCAGGTCCGTCTGCTTTGCAACACGTATGAGAGCCTGGCGGAGGCGCCGCCGGTGCATGATAGTAAGTTTAGGGTTTAGGGTTAAGGGTTAAGGGTTTAGGGTGTAGGGGTTTAGGGGTTTAGGGGTTTAGGGTTTAGGGTTTAGGGTTTAGGGTTCAGGGTCCTTCAGGACGAAAAGAGCCCTTAAGGTTCATATACAACATAGGGATTCATAATATAGGGGTACAGGGCCCCTACTTTTAACTTCCTTAAGGATTCATAATATAAGGGTATAGGGCCTACTTTTAGGGTTCTTGTCGTCCTTAAGGTTGTCGCTATACGAAAATGTCATTTCTAAGTGTTCAGACTGCGCTGTTTTCCCGTAGAAGCCCAGACAGCCATTTCTAAACCCTAAGCCCAAAGCCCTAACCCTAAACCCTAAAAACCCTAAACCCTAAACTCTAAACCCTAAACCCTAAACCCTAAACCCTAAACCCCAAACTCTAAACCCTAAACCCTAAACCCTACACTCTTAACCCTAAACCCTATTTGGGGGTTTCAGAAAATAGGGGACCCTAATACAGTACCCTAAATAGTAGGATCCTGATTATAAGGAACCCCAAAAAGGTACCCCTTGTTTTCGGAAACTCCCATTTATTTTTTAGGGTCCCCTCAGGTTCCTCTATGGGACCATAGTTGCGGCACTTTCCAGCTTTTTCCAAACAAGCAACATCGTTTCGGTTTAGGGTTTAGGGTTTAGGGTTTAGGGTTTAGGGTTTAGGAATGCAACTCCCCAAACCTCCAGAAGCATGAGTCATGCATTGTACGAGACCTTAAACCCTAAACAAACCTGAGCCCTGTGCAACGGTACGAAGAGGGCAGGTGACCTTAGGGTTTAGGGTTTAGGGTTCCTTGCTTCTGCTTTCAGGTTCAAGATACCCTAAACCCCAAATCCTAAAAACATTGGAGGGTTGAAGGTTGCTGGGTGTCAGGATCTTAAACCCAAAACGCGTGAAATCTTAAACCCATTCTGTAGCGGCCTAGGGGCTACTGCACGAGCCTAGTCGTCACGAACCCATAGAGCATCAGATCTCAGAACCCCAAAAACTGTAAATCCTGCACTCGTTACGCTCGATGATCCCTCTAGGGTTAGGGTTTAGGGTCAACCCGTAAGCAAACAACCCTCACAACCCCAAACATCCTTTCTAGACACTACACAAACCCTTTGTGGGGCATTTTCACTTAGTATTGGAAAGTCTTCTGCCTACTCGTCCAGTATCCCCGGGACCAAAGGTCAACCTTTTCAAAATTTTTGGATTTTGTAGGGATTGCAAAAGCTTAAAAAAGGGTAGAGGTACAATTAGTCTGAAAATTTCAAGTCGACATCCATGGCGACGTTTCATGTCCTCGTTGAAAGGTGTCGCTCTACATTTTTTGGGACTGTACCCTGTTATCTAACTTTGGGGTTATGAGTAGCGGTTATTTTGCAGGGTTTGGGGCTACAGGTACGTCACACCCTCAACTCGTAAATTCGAGCCCAAACTCTCAAATTATACTCTGAAGCCTAAGCCCCATAGATCATGATAGCATTCTAACTTCAACCCCAACGCGGTACAATGACAGTGTGAGCCCGATACAGTACCCTAAACCCTAAATAACAAAGCCTCCATGTAAGATCATGTAAGGCCCATTCATATTACACCCTGAACCCTTTGATACAATAATGTAAACCCTACAGTGGTTGTGCACGATGCAGCAAGCCAGGGTCCAAGTACCCAAGCCCAAACAAGGTAAACCTCGTAAAGTATGGTCGGATTTTATGAGCCCTAAACCCAAAATCCTAAACCCGAAAGCCCTAAACCCTAAATCCGAAAAGGTTAAAACCGACCCAGCTCCAAAGGCCTGATTCCGATAAGCATCGTCGCAGGCACCACGCCAAACGCCCAGCCTAAACCTCGAACGAGCTCTTGCAAAGCCGCCCCACTTGGCTCCTCCCCTGAAAGGGTGGTTTACACGCAAAAAGGACCATAATTTAGACAACTACCCATATGGATATAGACTTGAACTGGCATTGTACCCACACCCGATTTTGTTATTACGGGCTGAGAGTTTGTCTGCAGGACTGTGTGGCTGAAGGCTCCAATGTCATCTGCCTAGGATCCCGGATTTGGGGTCGTGTGACCCAAGTCCTCGCGATAGCTGATCAGAGTGAGCCGTGGCAGCTGCGTCCATGTAATGCCAAAGCATCGGCAGAGCTGAAACAGCGATCTGCTTGTACGTGAAAACCTCTCTGGAAAGCTGTTCTTGCAGGCATTGCAGAACATCTGTTCGTACATGAGCTTCAAAGTTCTCGATGCTGCCGAACCAAAGCGTGATGCACTGGAAGATGACCCGGCGATCACAAGTGAGGGGTTTTCCCCCCGGAGACACATGTTCCACACTGCAGCAGTAGGATGAGCTGCTGTCGGCGACAAACTGCCCAATATCCTTCTCTAGCGCCTGCACATAACGGAAGTATGCTCGTAACCTAGGTTGGCCCATAAAAGCGAGTGCAAAATATTCGTAAGTAAGATCCTCTTTGTTAAACCCACGGACGCAAAAAGAAATCTCGCGAAGCCTACCTAGTAGCTTGATCGAAGACCAGGAGAAGCCAGTCAAAATGAACAGCCCAATTGACGGCCACAGAACGAAATAACGCAGGAAGCCCTCGGGTGCTTTTGCAGGCCCCTCAAAACATGATCGTGGAATGGGGTTTATAATAGGCCTTAGGTTCTGTAAGGGTTTATCGGCTTGAGGTTTTAAGGGGTGGCACAAAATTGAAAGTAAACAGAGCTATCTTAAGGAGCGACCCAGCGTCGGGATCTGTCCCTTCGAGGTGCTCTTTGCTGGGGAAGAATGTGAGTGCGAGCATCACATAGGATAGGGCGATGGGCAAGGAGATGAAGAAGGGGCCCAGCCTTGGTTGAAGTTGTTAAGCGTCTGGGGATTATATACAGTCCCGGTTTTGCAGTGACTGATTTATGTGGGGGCTTACGTGGGGTTTAGAGTGCGTCAAAGAACTATGAATTAGCTACTGTGACTTGCTACCATGCTGAAACCATTACATACAGTGTCTTCCCTATCCTGGCAATTCAAATTGCAAGCCCAACAGCTATTGAACAAGAACCCAGCAGCAGCGTTGGCCTGATAGTCAGCTTCACCTTCCTCCCATCGGCTTTGCGACTATGCATGAATGCGGCCAGCTCGAAGACACACCAAAGGCGACGGCTCCACGACGGATCCCAGAAGACAACAAGAGAATCTGAGGCCCTGAGAAATGCACCAATGCTCACGAGGCCAAGCCCAAAGCGTCGCGGGTTGGCCTGGCTTTGCATCTGGAATACCCCCTGAAAGATCGTGCCTTTGGTTCGCTCCTGCAAAAACATATACTACACTTAACAACAAAAAATATTCCCAAGGGCGGCCAGCCAAATACAAATTCGAGCTGGGACGTGCTGGCCACAGGGGTGGACAGCGGATTTCGGGTATCTAAGACATCACTGGAATCATTTCATATCATTGCAGTTATTTCGACGGCTTCGATGACAAGCCTGATCGATGCAGAAGGCATCCACGAAAATCCTCTGCGATGGCTTCCAGAAGAGCAACACTACGAAGTATAGCCTGGGCTGGTTCTTGGAAAGCTTGTAAAACCCAAGAACCAACACAAAACCGGCCCAGTAGCAGCAAGGACACAACGCTGACCAAGAACGAATTCTCCGGATATAGTGGCCTGAGCAGTTCGCAGGAAACCCCGTGATAGAGGAACCGGTTTCCGGCTAATGCCATTACTAACATGACTGCTCAGTATAGTATTAGTACTAGTAGTAGTAGTAGTAGTAGTAGTAGTAGTAGTAGTACCGTAGTAGTAGTAGAAGTACTAGTCGTAGTAGCAGTAGTAGTAGTAGTAGTAGCAGTAGTAGTAGTAGTAGTAGTAGTAGTTGTTGTAATAGTAGTCCTGGTACTCGTAGTAGTAGTAATAAAAGTAGTAGTAATAAAAGTAGTAGTAGCAGTAGCATTATTCAAAGTAGTAGTACTAGTGGTGGTCTCCGTATTAGTAGTAGTACTACCGGCAGGAATGATAGTCGTCGTCGTCGTCGTCGTCGTCGTGGCGGTGGTAGTTGTAGTAGCAGCATCAATAGTAGTAGTAGCAGTAGTAGTAGTAGTAGTAGTAGTAGTAGTAGTGGTAGTAGTGGTAGTGGTAGTGGTAGTAGTAGTAGTAGTAGTAGTAGTTTTTGCCGTAGTAGTAGTAGTAGTAGTTGTTGTTGTTGTTGTTGCAGTGGTTGTCGTAGCAGCAGCAGCAGCAGCAGCAGCAGCAGCAGCAGCAGCAGCAGCAGCAGCAGCAGCAGCAGCAACTAGTAGTAGTAGTAGTAGTAGTAGTAGTAGCAGTAGTAGTAGCAGTAGTAGTGGTGGTAGTAGTAGTAGTAGTAGTAGTAGTAAGAACAAGGAAAAGAGCAGTAGGAGGTAGAAACCCATTAGAAGCAGAAGTAAAAGTAGAACAGCTACTGTATCTTTAGAAGTAGAAGCAGCAGCAGCAGCAGCCGCAGCAGCAGCAGCAGTATGAGGAGGAGCAGGTATATAGCCTACAAGCTCAAGCCCACCGCATGTCACACTTGCGACCTACCACAACCACATTTAAAACTTGGCTGGAACTTGCACCATTTCTGGCTGCTCTCGCGAGCTTAGTCGCGACAAGTTGCACTTCCACCTCGGCACCACGTCCTCTTCCGAATGCTCCTTCTTCTTCTTATTCTTCTACTTCCTAAACTTCAGAAGTGTCTCGGCAGCCCAAAACAAAAACTTCTACTCATGGGGCCTGCAAAAGCCTGGCACCCGTGGCTCTCTGCAACACTGCCTCACGCTGCCTTTGAGCAGCCTGTGGAGTGGAACTGAAGAGGAAGCTTGCGCTGGAGTGTTGGAAGCGTGCCAAGCTTCACCTGCGCCACACGACCGGAAAGTTGTCTCAGATGTTAACACGGCTTGGGGCTTGCACTTGATGCGATCCTGAAACTCCAAGCAGAATGCTCCAACCAGCACAAGAAGCAAAGGACACATCTTCTTGACACAGGGAAGTCTTGAGCACTATTATTCGCTTCACCTTGATTGCAGCCGCATACCTTCCAATATATGGTTATAGGTAATTACAGTCTGTTCTGACTGGGAACCTGATCACCACAGCTAGTGTTGCGCAGAGCAATCCTATGCGGCCTTCAAAGCTTCGAGCCGCAGAGCTTCAGGGCGACCATTCCAAGAAGCCTTGATTACCAACTACGCCGCACGCCGCTGCACGCGCCCCTCGCGGTTCTTCAAGCGCTCTTGGTGGCTCAATGCTAAGTCTCCTTATGTTGCTTCCCACACTGACACTGCAGTGGATGATTCTGCGGGCTTGGCCTTGAGGTGTCGCGCCGCAGTAGCAAAGCACACAAGCAGCAACGCAAGCAGAAGACCTTCCACAAGCAGTCACTGCTGTGAAGCTCCTGACCCCAGACTGCTCTGAGGGATCCTGATGGAAGCTTTCAAGCTTGACACAGCTTGGTCGTTGCAGTGCCAGCTGGCATTCTGGCCCGGCTGTATATGGCACCACCGTCTAGAAAATAAAGCTTAATGCCTCTGCATCTACCGATCGCAGGACACCACAGCCAACTTGAAACGGTTTCAACAAATGCTGTCAAGGAACGCACCAGCCACAAAGCTTCCAGCTGTTGCCACGGTGGATCGCTGCCCCTGGCTGCCAGTGGTGCCTCCAACCACGATCCTGGAGGTGTGACATAGTGAAGCATTGCTGAAATCTGGCTTCCTGGAGTCCCGTCTCTGAGGCTTCGTGGATTTTTCCTGCATGGAAACCCTTGCCTGCCATTGTCAACATGAGCCCTTCACTGCAGGTGTACGCCGAGAAGCAATTGACCCAACTTGCACCCAGCCGCATTGCACTCCACCGGTGACTGCCTGTCCATGGGAGATTCACCATACACGGCGACAGCTCGTGGGAAGATTTCCACTGCCGCTTGGCTGGGCCGGCCTTTAGTCGTGACTTTGCAACGCCACTCATTGCAAGCAAGCCGCGGGAAACTCGGGAACGTCTCTGCGAAAAGGCTGAGCATCCTCGTGCCAACAAGAACAAATGCGGGCCGTCAAGAGCTTCAGGTGATAAAACTTACGATCGGTGGCTTGAGTTTTGATGTGCCTGAGGTCAATGCTGGTGAGGCTGACCCCTCTCAGTATGCCAACTCGGTTTGCATGGCAGGGACCCTCAACGGTATAAGGGGTTCTCCAGCGCGTGGCCTGCTGAAAACACGTCCAAGCTTGTACGAAGACGAAGCAATAACTGACAATGAATGGGCGAAAACCGTGGCCCATGTTGGACGGCATGTCTGCTAACATAACTAGCCCGGCCAGCTGCACGGAGAGTACAGGCTCGTATTAAAATGTGCTTTACTGGAGAAAAACTACAACAGCAACACTTACATGCTTTGGGGCCCAGCGTCGCCAGTGTTGACCGTCGATCAATTGTCTCTGTGTACTGGTCGCCACCTACGAATCTGGGTGACAGAAAGTCAATCCCTGAAACCAAATCTCCGGAAACGACACCTTCCTCACAGCTTCCCCGGGTGCTCATCGTAACACCCAAGTTCATATATGACAATTCCAATGCCAATGTTGCAATCGTGCTTCTTCGTGTTCTACTAAGCTGTCGACATGCATATGCGATACCGTCGAAGCGTCAAAATGACCTCTATAACTCCATACCTACATACAGTACAAACATGTGTGCAGAATTCAGGCACGAGTGCCAAACCCTGTGTTCACAGAACTGCCACTCGGACCAGCCTGCAGATGCGAATCATTCAAACCGAATTCGCAGCACGAAGTCTCGATCAACCAATTCACAAATATACACACCCAGGCGATCAGTCAGGGTTCACTCCTGTCATGGCAATCCAACCTGCCTGGGGTCCCCTTTGGCAAGGCGAAGCCATGGGGTCCACGCGCGTGGTTCTCGAAGCGCCAGTCGATCTTCTGGGCATCCATCTCCTGGAATGGGGCTTAGAATTCAGAAAAACCACCACTACTACTGCTACTACTA